CATCATCATCATCGAAATATAACTGGGCGCCTGGGGCCGTTAGCGGCCTTTTTCCCATTCATCTTGTATTTAATCTTTAAGGTGGTTCTTTCTGGTAATTGGAATAAAAGGAAATCAAATATTTTGTATTTTAGTTAAAATTATGTCACTACAAAAATGAGCTGCAATCGGCCTGAGGTTTATGTCTTCTCTTAAGTTTTCGAAAGTAAAAATTTCGTTGAATCCTGCGGTGTCACAATATATGGTCTTTTCAAAAAATCTGAAGTTTTGCTTTGCAATGTGATGATCTAAAAAATCTATGTTGAGGTCGCTATGTATGTTTTTATTGCGGATAAACCATCTTGCTTTTGTTATTTTCCTGAGGACTTTGTTCTGGCATATTTTGAGTTTTTTAAGGAGTGATTTCGAGATGTTGCACCAAGCTGGAGATGCATAAGTCAGGATGAGACGGATCATCGAGATGTATAGTAAACGTTTAAGTCTGAGTTCCATTTTAGGGTTCTGAAGAAGGATTTGTAATCTGTAGCAGGCTGTTTGTGCTTTGTTGATGACTGTTTTGACGTGATCTTTCCAATTAAATTTGCTGTTTATGACCAGACCAAGATATTTTGCTGTTTTGACTATGGGTATCGTTTCGTTAAAGAGTACAACTTGATTTTTGGGGAGTGTGCACAGAGTAAAGTTCGAAGCTTCTTAAGTACTGGGGAAAGATACAAGGTTGCCGATCCTGTGTACGTCATCCAGCTGATTCCTTTGGCTACTACGCACCATGCCTGGCGACACACAGTTATAAATTTAAAACGAATGTGAATTATGAATCACTATCTATTCTACTCCTGGTACAACACAGAATCTCATCATAAAATGACAAGTAATATCATTTTCATGTTTCAAGAAATATCAGCTATACTTTTAAATTGTTATTTTACTTGCACTTAAATTGCAAAACCTTAGCACTTTACATATCAAAATGAATAAATAAAATTAGATCTTTGAAAACACTATTAAAAAGTCATTCTGCATTTTTCTTCGTTTATTAAAATCTTTCTCTATCTTTATTTATTTCTTTGGTATATGTTAGAGTATTATCAAAGAACAGTAATGTAATTTGTTAAGTATATATTTAAATTGTTAGTTCTTTAGAATTTTTAACTACTTTTAACGTATTTTTTTTTAAAATATGATTTTGTTTTAAAATTTCTTAGGCTAACAATAAAGGCAACATGTCCCATGATGCTACAGAATTTTCCAATGGATAAACAATCATGTCCACTTGTGTTTGGAAGCTGTAAGTATTGTTCATACATTTTTTTACCAATTTCTCTGCCAATACGCTGGAAATATATAATACATGCAACTCTTCTCATACATAACTTTCCATACATATAGTATATATAATACAAAACTCTTCTGTTTGATTTCCAAAATCGACATAAAATGTTTTTAAGTCCTTTGACTACGATGTAAAAAAAAAGGCTTTTCAAAAAAGAGCAAAAATGTGTCAAAATAGCACCCAGACAAATAATTGTTGAAATTAAAAGAGTGGTCTCACGGTCAGTGGTCCCTGGCTCTCAGGGTGCTGGCATTTTTTTACGTAAGATCAATTCCTATCATAAGACTTCGCGAAACAAAAAATTCAGATACATTGAAATTTTTACAATATTTACTGTAAAACCACTGAATCTCTGTAATTAAATAAATATTACTGTAAAAATAAATTGAGGTATGAAATGTTTCGATAAAAATTGATTTTACGGGAATATGAATTTTACGGATGCTGCACACAGGATGATAGTATTTTTCCGTAATACGATCTGATATTTTTTACAATGTAATTATATGTCCTAGTTATAGAATTAAATAATCAATACAAAATATATACTTCCAAAAATGGTTATTTTTTTCAGTGTTTAGAGACATAAATATGTATTATTTTCCTATTTAAGTGTAATCAAAAATTTAAGTAGTCCTAGTATCAGTATGCTTTCCGTTTATATTTATTACGTACTTTTATCAGAAACTCTATTTTTAATCAAATGATGTGACAATAAATGTATTTATAAGCAGTGACTCTATTAATGAATAATGAAGTTTAATTTACGCAAAACTGTTTACTGCATGCAAAGCATTTTTGCATCAAGCAGATTAAAATATTCACAAGGGCGTCTGACCAGCATGTAACTTTTAGTATTAAAATTTCAGAGAAAAAGAAGAAATTTATGGTGAAACACATTTTTTTGATAACAGCATATTTTTTGTTGTCAAGAAAAACAGGAATATGGTATATTTTGTTTAATTTGTATGGTATACTTTGTATAGTTTGTTTGTATAATTTAATTAAAGTTGCATTTAATTTTTAGATGGATATACTGTGGACCACCTTATGTACCAGTGGGAATCAGGTGACGCAGTTAGTCTTAATGATGGACTAGTATTGTCTCAATACGATTTAATTGATTTTCCAATGAAGAATTCAACAATCAGTGCCAAAACTGGTAAATGAGTTGTGCTCACAGTTTTAGTGCTATTATGAGAACAATTGTTTTGATCTTTAAAAATTAATTTTATCTTTATCAGTTTTAGTTTTTTTTATTATTTCAGCCATATTACTTTAGTTGTTCTTTAAAAATTAAGCCTTATTTTATCTTCTATATAACGACATCTCATATTTAAAACAATTGCTTTTAATGTAATTAAAGATTGAAAAATTAGTGAGAATTAGTATTACATTATTAATGTGATTAATAAAAAAAATATTAAATTTTGACGCTTGAAATAGTATCATTAAGAGCTTGTCGTAAACAGTAAAGAAAATATAAAAGCAGTTTTCTTCAAACTAAATTTTCTCGTTTTTGTGTTTTTGTTGAAAATATTTTGGACAGTGTTATTGTTAATACTCATTTGAAATATCTGATACTTGCAAAATAATACGATTTTATTTGCTGACATAAATTTTAAAATATTACCCTTGTTTGTTATTTTTTTTATAGGAATGTTTAGTGTTCTACAAGTAAACTTTAATTTACGAAGACATATGGGGTACTTTTTAATTCAAGTGTATGTGCCTTGCGTTCTTATTGTTGTATTATCGTGGGTCTCATTTTGGATAAATCGTGAAGCAACCGCCGATCGAGTAGGTCTTGGTAAGTGTACTTATGTGTTTTTTTTATCTTTGAGCCGGCAAGGTGGCCGAGCGGTTAGCTTGCCTAACTGCGAAGCCAATGGCTGCGGGTTCGAATCCCGCTCAGAGCACGGATATTTCTCTCTGTGTGCTGTTTGTGATGCGTGAATGTGGCCTTCCCTATAAGCGGGTATTTGTGGCAGTTTGGGTAATGTTGCTCGCCTTCGTGACCTAGGTCGCAAGGTGCTCACCAGGTAATGCAAAATGAGCACCACTTCGGTATCTTTCATGTCAAAGAGCGGTAAGCTCAGCGCTTGCTGTTTAAAAAAAAATCATTGAAATTCAAGCTATTTTCAAAATAGGTTTTTATTTCAAATTTAAAGAGCTTATTTTATAAGCTAAGTATTTTTATATAATGTTCCAACAAAAGCGGGCAGTTTAACTTGAAATGAAATATTGTTTGTTTTATTTCAACTGTATTTTGTTTGCAAAAAAATGGAAAAAAAAATTAACAACTGGTTTAACATCTTAGGAAATGTTTTGCTTAGTTTTACTTAGTAAGTGCATGGATATTTATTACGTATTGAACAACACATCTGGCAGATATGTTGCTACAAGATGACGCATGATACTACAGATGATACTACATATCATACTACATATTAACGCTTCACAGTTCAGCAAAAATAAATCCAAAAAAAAAACGCAAAAAAAGAAGAGGTGTATCTTGGGAATTTTGATTAATTACGAAATTGCGCAATTTTTAAAATTGCCAAGATAAATTCAGGATTTTTCAATTAATTTTTCATTTGTATTCTACTGTGTAGATGATAATTGGTTCTTGAATGAAACGGATTAAAAAAAGTGTGTCAAATTGTGTGAATCGAGAACACCCTATGCCTGTTACTATTTTACTGCTATTTTAGTTCTTTAAAGACTTTTTTCAGTGTTTTTGGATCATATTTTTTTGAAATTATAATAGATTTTTGAAAATTGATATTTTTACAAAAACACTATTTAATAGTCATATTTTCCTTTTTGGAAATGAGGTAATTATTAATTAATTATTATTTTTGTTTAACATGGTGGCCAACTTCTAAAAATATCTGATTTACTGAAATATTCTTAAGTGCTTCAAAGTTCTTTCATATATATATATATATATATATATATAAACTATTTTGAAAAAATGTCGCGTGGTCCCTTCATATGGGGCCCCCTTGACCGTCGGGGCCCCGGGGCGGTGCCCCGACTGCCCCGGCGTAGTTACGGCCCTGATTAGAGCTAGTCTCAAGGCGAAAATATTCTTAAACCTAGGTAATTATAAGGTTTCTTTTCACAAAGTCTTGCATGCTCAGCTAAAATCCACCTTGTCATGAAATTTTAATGAGCAATGCAGTTTGATCCTATCGTTAGTGTGACGTCAACTAAACCGTCATTATGGACCTAAGTGACCATTTTACTTAAG